CCTGTACGTGGCCCGAGTTATCCAATTCCAGAAAAAAAGAAAAAGGACCGGGGAACATTGATACTTGTGGGATCAGTTCTCTTGGGTAGCTCTCTGTTCGTCAACTTCTTGTTTGTAGGTGCAGCTTGTCTGGGGTTTTTCCTTATTTACTACAAAAAAGTTACAAATTTCCGTCCAGTTCATGATGCAGCAGGAGTGAATTTGCGGTGTTTTACTTATAAAGAGCTTGCAGAAGCTACAGACGGGTTCAAGGAAGAACTGGGTAGAGGTGCTTTTGGAATTGTCTACAAAGGGGTAATGCCAACGGGTTCCAAAAGCACCATTGCAGTGAAAAAGCTGGATAGAGTGGCTCAAGATACTGAGAAAGAATTCAAAACAGAAGTGAATGTCATAGGCCAAACTCATCATAAGAATTTGGTCCGCCTGCTTGGATTTTGTGAAGAGGGTCCTCATCGGTTGTTGGTGTATGAGTACATGAACAATGGAACTCTAGCAAGTTTCCTTTTTGGTGATCTGAAACCGAATTGGAATCAAAGGATTCAAATTGCACAGGGGATAGCCAAGGGACTTGCGTATTTACACGAAGAATGCAGCACTCAAATCATCCACTGCGACATCAAGCCTCAGAATATACTTCTTGATGAATATTTTAATGCTCGGATTTCAGACTTTGGATTAGCAAAACTTCTGATGATGAATCAGAGTCGCACTCTCACTAATATCAGAGGTACAAAAGGCTATGTGGCTCCCGAATGGTTTAGAAACACTCAAGTCACCGCAAAAGTCGACGTTTATAGCTTCGGTGTTTTACTGCTAGAGATCATTACGACGTCTTCTACGGACTATCTAAACCAATTTGGAGATGGAGAAAATCCAATTCTTACCGATTGGGTTTGGGACTGCTTTCAGGAAGGCAGGCTAGAGACGTTGGTTGAAAGTGATACCGAAGCTTTAAACGACAAGAAAAGACTAGAAAGGTTTGTGATGGTTGGCATTTGGTGCATTCAAGAAGATTCATCTCGGAGGCCAACCATGAGAAAAGTCAGCCAAATGCTTGAGGGAATTCTCGAAGTTAATATTCCCCCTTGCCCAGATCCTTTCGCTTCAGCTGGTTAAGATATTAAGCTAGCTTGTCCATTACAGTGCTTTTTCTTAATTAATATTTATGTTCAGTAATTTTCATGTTGAAGTCATCAGTCTTTAATTTGGCTATCATTTTTCAAATATTTATGTATTTTGTTACCTGCAAGACGATCCACTTTCTATTGTTGATGAGGAGACATGCTTCTTGAGGAATCGGTCACGCAAAATATAGTAGTATCTCTTAATGAGAAGTCGGCTCTAGATCAATTACTTATTTATTAATATTTACATTTATGTTCACAGCCATTGAATTCCTCTGTTGCATATCATTGAAGTTAAATTCCTCTGTTTTACTTTATAAAGTTGCTACTAATTTTTTACGAATAAATATGCACGTCAAGAAAGTAACCTACAAATTTTGGTAGTGCACCCAGATGGTGCACATTTGCAATAGCAGTCTGTAGGA